TCTGGGAGCAAATTCTACATACCTGGAGAACCATCTTCCCAGAGATCAGAACAGCACCAAAGAAAAAAGACGAATTCCTTAGGCAACCCCTCTTCAGCAACCCACTAATTAAGAACGACAAAAAGGAAAGCCTAACACTCTCAAAATCAGAACCTAAATGGGGACATTGGCTAGAAAAGGGAATATGGCAAATCAACCACATTTGGATGAACCAAACGAAACCTGGAAAACAGAAAGAGACCTACGAGAACAACTTAAGGGAATACATCACTTACAGATTAACTTAACTGACATCATAGGCTGCATCCCCCTACACTGGCGAGCCCTACTAAAATCAAAACAAGAATGGCAATATGGAGACTAGGCCACCACCAATGATTCCGCATCAATCGAGGAAGTCCTCGAATTCAAGAACTACGAACCCCACAACAAGAATTGGATATGCTGTAACATACGCACCGTAGAAGAACCAGGAAACCCGGTAAGCTATATCAATACAAAGAGCAGAGCAGAAGGAACTTTCAGAAGCAACAACCTGCGAAGAATCAAAATCTTAGAAGGAGATAGAAAAAGAGTCTTTATACCCCATATTAACGTCTGCGACTTAGAGATTGATCCCACAAAATGGATATGGAGCTCCCCTTCCGGTTCCACTCTCATCTCCAACTCTTGCAAACTAACCGACTACACACCCAAACTAGGTTATCGTCTTTTCACCAAACCCATTTCAATATCCAACACAATACGCAACAGGTGGACAAAGGAGGAGCCACAATTAGCCAACACTCACTTCAAACTTCCCTGGGCTACAGTTCTATCCACAAGACTGGCTAAGCTAGCCAGCCTGAGATGGCTAATAGCCTTTAGAGAAGTCCCAGTAAACAAATGGTTGGCCATCAGATGCAATCAAGGAAATAGATCAGAACATGATTCCTGGTGTAAGGTATGCAACCTCGATATCCCTGAATCCCTAAATCACTGCTTCATGGATTGCCCAAAGGCAACATCCCTCTGGCAAGTCCTAGAATCATCGGGGCTTAAAATCTCAGACTCTTCCCTACTAATTAACCCCGCCACACTATTCCTCGATCTCAACCAATCACCCTCACTCAAAGGATTCGAAGCCTTCCTCACATCCCAAATCAAGAAAAGCATCCTATGGGCCATATGGGAAAACAGATGCGACAAAACGTTCAATGACCGACTCACCGCCCCCGAAAACCCACTCATCATTATCCAACAACTAATAAACACCGAAATTCACGCCCTATGGAAAAAGCAACTCAAGAATCTCCCCACTGACCTAGACAAAAAAAAACTAATAAATTAGTAATAATCCAAAAATTCTCCTTCTCCAAACTGAGCAATGGGCTACTTGGCACAAATAACAATGAAAGACTAATTCTCAAGAATTGGCTAACCATCACACAGATATAAAGCTCCCACACAGCCCCCACACTCCACACACAATCAGCCCCAATCCACCCTATCACCATTTACCCACCACCGAACCGTCTAAGACCCCACGCCCCCCACCAGCCCTACCCGCTCCCCACATCACACACCCCACACCCTCAACCGTCTGCCCCCACCTAGACCCAGCCCACGACAATCTACTCGCTGCACCCCCTCCACCCTTCCCTCCCCACTCCTTCCTTACAATACTCAGTACACCACGATAAACTCACATTCCTCAAACCAGCCATTCCCCAAAACACAACACCCCCCGCACCAAGTTCACCCTCAACGTAAGCCAAACAGCCCGCCTCAAGAGACATCTAGATCTCAGACTATATCCTCCAACCTCGTCGAGGTACGTTACAGTTACAAACCCCAAAGTTAAGTTAAAAGCACAGAAGTACCAAGCCAGGGTTTAAGGGTTTTAACAACAATTACGCGACAAATCCAGGTTCCCAGTAAAACAGGCTAACTTAGGCAGGGGTGAAGGGTGGTACATCCTTCCCCAGGGAAGTAATCAATGCCGTCCTTCGGGCCTCTACACCACAAGGGGGAGGAGCGTGAGTGTGTATACATTGTAATCTTTTCAGACTTGCTAGTGGAATAGGGACCGGACTGACGCTCCCCAGAATGGATAAGGTGCCGGAACCATAAGGTTCCATTTAAAAAAAAAGAAAAAAGAAAAAAAAACAACTGCTGGTAGCCCTGCCCAGTGTGGAACTGGTACGTGGGCATCAACCAGCGGGATATAGAACTTGATCTTCCTTCCCTCGAGGGTGTTGATGGTGACTTTCAGCATAATATCCTCCGGAAATAGCCTGAAGCAGAAGCGGTCCGCATACATCTGTCTTACTCTCCCTTCGATCATCTCCGGCGATGGTGTCCCACAGAACGGGGTCGATGGCAGCACTGTTTTCCCACTGTGATTGATTAATCCTAAGACAAACGCCTCCTGGCCCAGCAGCGTGCACACTAGAGGGAGTAAGAACTTTTCCTGAAACGGCTGTTCTCCGGGAACCCCATTTAGGATTATGCATCTTCCCTCCCCGGTGGATTGTCTCTCTGTGTGTGAGGCAGCTCCCTGACCTTGTGAGGAGCTGGCCGTGTGTTCTACCACCACTTGGGCCTTCACCTGGGGCCCTCCCTGGTGCTGCCCCAGAGAATCGTCCACGACAACCTCTCGTTCCTCCACTCCTGTAAACGATATAAATCTGTCTTGTCCTCCCACTGTTGCTCTCTGTGGAGCCCTCCCCCTCATCCAGTACTTTGCATGTACTCCACCCGTGTAACCCAATTGCGGAAATTGGTATCCTGGTAGTCCTGCACTCGTCCATCTGCCATAAGACGAAACCCTCCCTTGCAGGCATTGCCAGCTCCGATTTTGTTGAATAACCGATAAGTAGAGATCTCCTGCTGCCGCGATGGAATTCCACCCCCCTGGGTGAGTACCCGTGCCCCACAGCTGATTTGTTTGCCCAATTATCACTTGGTTCCTTGAGTTTTGTTGGAGTGTACCCGATCCCACCGCTTGTTCTCTTCCTCCCATTGCTCGACTTCCTTCAGCTTGTGGGTGCTGAAGTATGATGCCCTGTTGTATGGGCCGGTCTGCTGCTCTGCTGGATTCTCCTCTTTGTGAGCCGCCTTGAACCTGGTTTCTCACAGCATCTTGGCCTTGATCCCTTGATGTGCTCCTTATTTCCCTTTCGTAGATGATAGTTCCCTGCTGTGGACAGCGATTTCTGGCACTGGATGCTTCCTCTTCTCCGAACTCCTGTTCTTCTGCTCTTGCACATCCTTCAGTTTCTGTGTGAAACCACCATCGACACCTCTTGCACCATGGAGTGTTTTTGCATACAAATTGGACCTCGTATGTCTCCCCATTGTCCACTCTAATCGGGAGTGTCGGTTCAAAGCGTTCTTCCGCCTCCATCGCCAGGTCGAACTTCAAATTCATGAGTCTTGGTCTCGATGGGTCTGGTTCCAGTGGATGGCAATGGATGATTTCTCCCATCGATTGCGCGACCAGATCTTCTACATGAACCATGGCTCTCAGCGGAATTCTCAACGCCGTAACCCAAAATTTGGTATTATCCTCTCTTCGGCGCTGTTCTTCCAATTCGGTCCTGGTCATCCAAGGTTTAAACAACATATGATATTCTACTCCTCTAATGACCACCACATCATCCGCCTTAGCCACCAACCACTGCGCCACTTCTCTCGACTTTGCCACATACGACATGACATTCGGACCTTCGCCGTGCACCCGACCTCTCTTGAATCCTCTAGTGAAAGCCTTTTTCCGGAACCACCCATTCTCATATGCTCGAATTAGGTCTTCCCTAATTCTCACCAGTAGGTCCCTCACTTCGCCCTGGAAGATAATCGTCACCGTTCGCTCCTTTAGCCAAGCTGCGTTCAGCTTCTGGTCTCTCTTGCCTGTTTCCTTGCTCCATTGTGTTAGACCTTCTTGCTTCTTTCTGATCCCGTTCTCCTTCTCTCACTGATTGTTCGCTTCAAAGGCGGGCGCCTTAATGATGGCACTCACCCACTGCTGATTCTTCCTGCTCTTCTCTCCTACACGTGGATTACATTTTTCGCATTAATTACCTGAATTCTACATTAGGCCGACCGACGTGTCGCCATACCTCCCTTCCCATCGGGTTGGTTGCTCGGGTAGTGCCGAGCGAGGTGACCTCACTATCACCCGGGCATCATGATGGTGCCTCTAGTGCTGGTCTGGACCGGTGTGACCTGGTAGCACTAACTTGGGGCGCCGCTGGCACCGTTCGCCGTGCCCCCGTTCAGCTCAACTCCGTAAAGCTCGTAAACAGATTAGTTTCGCATGGATGTTCAAAAAGCAGCAAGCGAGAGATTAGGAAAGATCCAAGGTTATGACACGCACGAATCCGCATGACAAAAATCAGATCCAGCTCTTCCACATTCTTGTCCCATATCCATCCATGATTGCGAGGATGCCTGCAGCTTTAGATGATCAGCACTTTTAAGGCACTTTTCTCCGGGGCGGCAGACATGCTGTGCACCCAAAAAAAAAGAACCGGTATGGGCCTGCTTATGCTGGTGCCTTCAGCCATTTTGCTCTGGAGGCTGCAACCCGAAAGATGTGTCGCGTTAAACCACCACTCCATCCGGACCTGTTTTGACAAACGAGAGTTTGAATTTCTCCGAGCCTGAAATCTACAGTGCGAATGTGGGGAAAAATAGTTGCGGTACCCTTCCCAACTGAACCTCTACCGGGCCTGGGCAGTGCAGATTCTGGCCCGGCAATTGATGAGAAGAAAACTGAGTAGTGCAGAGGCAGTTGGAAAGGTGGTTTAACGCCCCGGACCAGAAACAAAAAGTGGGGCCAAGTACTGGTGGAGGAACCGACCCATGATGACACATCTGCAAGAGAAGCAAGACTACGGGACTGCAGGCATTCAAGGACGTTGCCCACAGCTACAATGCTTTTCCTTTTTTTGAACATTTTCGCCTTCTTTTCCCCTCCAGCCATGGAATGGTTATCACGTCCAGTTACATTGCTAGCAGCAATCCCTACACAAGTAAAGATGGTGTTTCTGTAGTTGGGCCAAAGGTACAAAGCTTCTGCACAATACGATTGATCCCTTCGAAACGTTGTGGTGGCAAAGGAAAAAGGAGTCATGCTGGGTCCAGCTGAAATCATCTTCTCAATACTGAGAATCTTTCAGAAATTATCCTTGATTCCAAGAGTTTCTCCTCCTGCCTCCTCTCTCTCTCTCTCTCTCTCTCTCTCTCTCTCTCTCTCTCTCACACACACACACACACACACACACACACACACACACACACACACACACACACACACAATCTTTCCATCTATCTTGATGAAACAGCTTTGGTTGCGACCATGTGAATCATCCAAGCTTCAGCAGTTTTCAAATGCAGAAATACCTCTGTACTATACCCCAGAAAGGCGCAGCTCTCTCTCCACGAACACTGCAAATTTTATAATCGATGTGCGGCTACCGAGCAGGCAACCTCCCAAACACTGGATTCAGCGTGGTGCGGCTCTCCTAGTGCAGCTTGATCACTAGCGTGGTCATCTGTGTCCAGGCCCTGGAGTGGTGCCGGTGGCTCAAAGCTTGCCTCATGCCAAGTACCGCACAGTTAACAGGTATGATGTTTCCAAGGGCAAGGGGCGGGGGGTGGGGGGTGGGGGTGGGTGAAGACAAAAAGGGAAAGAGGTTGGTTTCCAGTACACACCATACTTGCAACGGCACGAGCCGCACATTCGTGCGGAGTTCCGTGCGGGGGGTGCCTGTGTGGAATCGTGCAGGTTTTTTATTTTTATTATTATTATTTTTATTTTTCTGGGAGGGGGGACAGGGGGGGGTATGACAGGAGGACTGGGATATGGCGAGGAGAGGGGGATATGGAGAGGAGGAGGAGGATGTGGACGAGGAGGACGACGAGGATAGCGAGGACGAAGACGAGGAGGAGGAGCAGAGATGGGGGAGGAGACAAGATGGATGGAGGGAAAAGAGGAAGGGCAGGAGGAGGAGGACGAGTGGGAGGAGGAGGAGACATGGATGGCGAGGAAGGGGAGAACACAAGGAAGGGGAGGACACGAGGAAGGTAAGGAGACGAGGAAGGGGAGGACACGAGGAAGGTAAGGAGACGAGGAGGCATGGGAGATGAGGAAGAACGAGGAGGAGGAGAAGAGGAGGATGAGGAAGGGCAGGAGGAGGACGAATAGGAGGAAGAGGACGAGTCGGAGGAGACGAAAAGGAGAAGGGAGGAGGAGACATGGAGGACGAGGAAGGGGAGGAGGAGAGAGGTGAGGCAGCACTCCTGCAAATTCCTTTTTCATCCCGCTTATAATTTTGGCGGGGGGCTCGAACGCACCATTTCGACCCCTGGCCTTCTTCTTTTTTGTCGGAGGGGGGTGACGGGTCGTTCCCCGCATGCATCGTGCGCCGCACGGGATCCGTTGGCAGCGTGCGCGGCACGTCGGGAACCGCCCGCAGGAGGCGTGCTTGCAAGTATGGTACACACCCATCTCTGCCATCGGATCTGAACATCTTAATCTGCCAGTACTCGGCCCTGCAATGAACCTCTTAGTTCAACACCAATGAGCGCACACAATCACACCACATGCTTGTATGAGATCACACAAATTTTCACACTAGAGACCAGAAAGAAGAAGACCAGGTAGCGGAGCTTATAATCTCAACAAATTATCATATGAGCAATGAAGAGTTTCAATCACCAGCGCTCAACAGCGCATCTCAAGTATCCCGTATCTTCACTCAGGTATGCCTCTCTTCCAAGACTCTTCTGTCTTCTCTCTCTATCTTGATCTTCTCTCTGTCTACCACCTCACTGTGTCTTCTCTCCCTACTTACATGCACTCACACATCTACTACTCAAGGACCTACTCTGAATACATCCACTGATATGCCTACTAACTATCTGAAGTCTACTACTAACACTCTGCACTGGCGCAGCTATGGCTGTCGTCTCCCTGCCAGATATGTGTGTGTGTGTGTGTGTGTGTGTGTGTGTCCACTACTGCAGTTTCCACTGCTGCAGTGTCCACTGTTGCAGTCTCCATTGCTCCAGTTTCCACTGCTGCAGTTTTCAGTACACCAGTTTCCCTAACTGTAATTCCCCCTGCTTTAGTTTTTACTGCTACAACATCCTGTCCAGCGGCTCCAATGCAAATAACATCACAATCTCTCCGACCCTCACGTCCTTTGCTCCGAAATCTTGCCCAATGCACCCCCCACTCATTTTTGTCTGTGCTTGGCCGTAGACGACTGCGTTCCTCCTCACCACCCCCCTCTCCTCCACGGTCTCGCTTGCGAACTGACTCTCCAGTTTCCATTGTCCCCATTGTTCCACCTGCATTGCTAGGTACGAGTTCAGCTTCTATTTGCAACACCACTACTCCTCTTGTTGTGTATCACCGACGACATCCGCGGCATCGTCACTTGTCCGGGGATCAGCAACGTGTTTCTTTGTCTGCCCCGATTCTCTTTGTGCCTCCTCCACAGGTTGTTGCGGTTCCTTTGTTTCAAACGGCAATATCCGCTCCTATGACTCCTGCAGACAGTCCATCTATCTGCCTGCAGGCAGCCACCAGTCCCTACTCAGGATGCAGCCGCTGCCCAGAGTACACTCCCGACTCCAGGTATAGTCCCTACTCAGGATGCAGCCCTAAACGTTGAGGGATTGGAACATGATCTGCCCGGATCGCAGTTGACCCCACAAGGCGTAGACCACATGGGGGATCTGCAAATGGCTGACCAGCATTGTGCGGATGAAACACAATTTTGTGCTCCGCCACACGCAGACCACATGGGTAATCTGCAAATGACTGACCAGCAAACAACCGTGGGCTTGCAGCACCATCTGGGTGATCTGCAAATTGTTGGCCAGCATCCAACAAACCAGCCTGAGAACCTCACCAATCTCTGTGGTTTGACAGCAACTAATATCTGTCTTCACATTCTCCATCGCCCGTTTTATACACCATCAGACTTCCTTGCAATCTGTACGTAATTTTGATTCATAGATTGCAATTGATTAGCATTCAAACTGTTTATCATTCCATCACACCATTTTGATGCTCCAGACACACTTGAACACAAATAAACTATACTTGTGTTCAAACATTCTTTAATAACCACATTGGCAAAAACAGGGTCCGCATCGTATTTAGCTATATCACTACTCAATTTTTGAGTTTTGAATTGTTTTCGTAATTTGAGAATTCGCCCTTCAGCTTGATGCTGATCTTCCCCAACGACAGCCATGGCCAGGGCCGTGCACAATGCAGGCAGAGATGTGGGATGGATGATTAAACCACTCACCTGCTCAAGCATTGCGTAGTTCAAGTTGACGGTCTCTCATTGCTACTTGTAGGACAGCAATGGTAAAGCCTCCTTCGCTGGTATAATTGCAATCCTCTACATGGCCATTGTACATGCCTCTGACCACTGGGAGCTGTGGGACAACGGCACCATGGTCCATGCCATGATTGATGTACTGATTTCTTACAAAATGATGTTGTTTTCTTGCCACAACAAACCGTCCGCAATCTCTTTTATGTCGAAGATCATTCCTCTGGCCCCGTGCTGCAGCAAGACAGTGCCCCAACACTCTGTGACCTTCTCCTTTGCACAACCACAAACACTGTTACACTCGGCTGTAGCCGCCATCGTCTCTGTCACGATCACTACAATGACATGGTTTTTGCATCCATGTGTGCAGAGGACTGTCCCACCATTCCTGACTGCAAGCACCCTCCGCATCCGGACACTATA